CAACAATTAACATATCATTCTTAAAAAGAAACACATATGGAATGAGAACTGTTCCTATATAATGTAAATCATAATAAAGTATTAATTTGTTGATAAGAGAAAAATATTTAAAAATCAAACCATATAATAATTATCACTGTGTAATTATTTATATATTTCCTGTCACGTCTGTAGTGAATAGGGAGGTAATTCGACTCATGTTAGTAAATTTATGCGTGATTATTTACTTTAGTAGTTTTGATAATCTGTACAAATAAAATATTTATCTGCATTTAGACAAAATTAGTTCCGGAGCAAAATGAACCATTTACTTAATCAGTTCCTTTACTACTACGTTTCTTAAATTACAGTCTTATTTGTTAAAGCCTTTTATGTGAGGCCCTCATTTACCTTTGTTTGTTAAGTGACCGTCTTGCGCCAACCTTGTCTTGAAATAGACTTTGTCATCACCATTTTGTCATTCGATTCGTAATTTTTGTCTTCCGAGAGCTATTTCCGTTTTATATTAAACAGATAAAAATTTTAACATAAAAAGATATTGAGAAAACAGGGATTTATATAATACCAGGAGTAATAAATGAATCATAGATACCATTAAACGTCTAATAATATAAAGGTAACAGATTAATTAAACGGTTCATTGGCCGCCATTTTAGTTGTAAATTCTGAATACATTGTTTCAAGATACCTTTCATCTCAATATTAAAACTTTCTAATAATGGCCAGCATTTTTGACGGCACGAGTACGCCAAGAATAATATATACAATTAGTCTTAGTCTGTTTTATTTGGCAAATATTTGCTACCCAATTCGCGTGTTTGAGTGTAGGCAATTTAAAAGTGTATCACTTTTTTATGCATAAATTCAGAGAATAAAAGAAAACAATGTATTTTTGTCTTTTCTATCACTGACATAAAAAACGATAATGTACAGTAAATTCCATGCATGCTCACATTTATTCATTCGCTGATCCAATCAAATTGCGTAGCCATCTGCACACTGATATTCTACACTCGCAGCGCCTTAAATACTTATTTATGCGTATTAACAAACGCCCACACATAGAAAGATATATGTCATTGAATCAACAGGATCAGTCCAAAACAGAAGTCTCACTATGTTCATATTCTAAAAGTCTCGAAATGATACGCCCCACTTACAGACGGCCATATTTAATACTTTCTGATCGACTGAATTACCTGTTGAGAAAAGCAAGCTATACTTGAAGGTTGCGTGAGGAAAAAACTAATCGGTAGTTTAAGACAGTCAATTCTCTGTTATTGCCTCTCTCTATAAGACTGGTTTTGGATCAGTAATTATTTCCTGTTGTTCATTGTCTGTAAATAAATAAATAATTACACAAATAAAGGAGCGCTTAAAATGATTCCAAGCGAGTCCGTCGCGTTCACATAAATACGCAGGGAATATTTGAATCCACCCCTCTCACGACTAGAAGCTAATGCACTGGTAATCTGGGATCTCTAACCTTGGGTACCAACCAATCTAGGAGAAGGAAAACTGATTTCAAAATCAGAAGGATGGATTGGCTCTGTCAAGCTAAGTGGAACTAGACACAAATACTATTGTTAATGTGTTGCCCCAACGAAACAAATGGTTTAAGCGACACTTGACGTAATGTAAAAATTTAAATCCAAAAAAAATTGCAAATGTCTACTTCAACAAAACGTATTATTTGTAACAAGGAAAAATAATGTTTCCCGAATCAACAACGCTGTTAATATAAATAGTTTTGTGACGTACAGTAGCCGTTAACAATTAAGTATAACTCAGAACTTTAATGTTAAATAAAACAGTATTTAATTACAACCGCAAATAAATAGTTAACAAAAACAAAGAAGTAAAAGTCAACCAAAGATAATTAACCATTTCAGTGAATACCTTGTTAGTAGCGTGGCTTGGCTTAACGTCCGGTAAATCATAAATCAAATCCCAAATCATCTGCACGCAATCATTCACACGAATTCGACTGGATAGTTCCACTCAATAGTCATTCAATAATCACCGCAGTCAGTAGCCTGACACCGCTATTTATACACCTGCCAGAAAATATATATTCATAAGTCCAGAGTGTCACGCTCAAACCACGGTGCCGGTAGTTACTCTTTTTCTTCCTACCTGACAATATATATATATATATATATATATATATATATTGACGTACGATGGCATTTAATAACTAAGTATAACTCAAGACTTCAATGTTAAAATAAAACATTATTTAATTGCAACCTTTAATAAATACTTAAAAAGAGCAAAGATGTAAAATTCAACCATTTCAGTGAATACCTTGTTAGTAGCGTGGCTCGGCTTAACGTCCGGTGAATCCTGAATCAAAACCCAAATCGTGGACGCACAATAATTCACACTAATTCGACTGGATATTTCCACTCAGTAGTCACTCAATAATCACTGCAGTCAGTAACCTGACACCACTATTTATACACCTGACGGAAAGCATTTATTCATTAGTCGAGTGCCTTGCTCTAACTTCGATGTCGGCAGTTAATCATTACTCTTCATTTTCCATAGCTATTGTGATGATGGATAAACTAAGAGTCTTCCATAGGAACTAGTTTAAATGTTGCCCCATGAAGCGGCTTTTAAGCTAGCTTAAAATTTAGCTAGTTTAAAATTTTAAGCAAGCTACAATTTGGGATAGAAAAGGAAAATAGCAGTTACTCCCCTTGAACCCTGAAAGCAAAGATAATGGATAGTATAATATATTAATATATATTTTTAACCTCGCATAATCTGGCAACCCTGAATCAGAGCTCAATGAAAATCGTTCCCTGCGCTTAAATTTTCTGGGGCTTCTGACACATACACTGAACTTTTTTCACGCGTACATCTCACTTGTGCAACGCTCTTTTAGATATTGAAAAATTTAAATCAGAGCTGTTTCCATGAAAATATTTGTAGAAAAGACAGAGGGAAGCCACTCCACGATGGTGAGAAAGTGACTGAAGTCGAGATGCCAAGTTAGGATCGATTACATTACAGATCGTTGTTTGGATTTTGCCAAGAACCCCGAGAAGAATAGCAGGAGAACCAGACCAGATATGTGAGCAGTATTCAATGCATGCACGAATTGTAAATGTGCAATATGGATTCTGACGAGCAAAACCTTCTGGCACGACATTGTGAACAAACTTTCCTTGCAGTAGATGCAGGTATTCATATTTTAATGCTATACCCCTTCAAAACTTAAGGGATCATGACTCTCCACAACTTCATCTTTTTGTTTAATATCTGCGAAATGACACGGCATCTTAGGAAATATTGGTTATTTATTTCCGGTTTCTTCCTCGGCAGATTTAAATAAAATGTTGTTCTTTATTGAAATTGGTTAGCGAGAACGGTCTGCTCAGTTATGTAATACATAGCTTAAGGAATAAAAAACGAATTCACAATTTTCCAAGAAGATTAGGGCAAAATGAAAGCAATATACGAGGAAAGGTTGCGTTGTTATTAAGCACATAATTGTCTGAAATAGGATGAGGATATAAACTTGCTCAGCAAAGATTGAAATTACTAAAAAAGGAGCGGGAAACTGATACGCCAGCAACTGCCCAGCAGTATGGGTGTCCATATGTGTCTTCTATTCTACTTATCTATCTATCTATCTATCTATCTATCTATCTATCTATCTATCTATCTATCTATCTCATTCTGTTAACATCTATTTCATTCTATTCATATCTATCTATCTATCTATCTATCTATCTATCTATCTATCTATCTCAGTTTATTCATATCTATCTATCTATCTATCTATCTATCTATCTGTCTGTCTGTTCGTATCTGTCTATTTATCTATTCCAGTCTATTCATATCTATCTATCTATCTATCTATCTATCTATCTATCTATCTATCTATCTATTCCAGCATATTCATATCTATCTATCTATCTATCTATCTATCTATCTATCTATTCCAGTCTATTTATATCTATCTTGTCTGTCTATCTATCTATCTATCTATCTATCTATCTATCTATCTATCTATTCCAGCATATTCATATCTATCTATCTATCTATCTATCTATCTATTTATATCTATCTTGTCTGTCTATTTATCTATTCCAGTCTATTTATATCTATCTTGTCTGTCTATTTATCTATTCCAGTCTATTCATATCTATCTATCTATCTATCTATGCAGGCATTACATCAATCTAGGTAGGTAGTAAATAACATACATGGAGAAAGGAAGTATTTCAAATAATCTAAAACAATTTATCTTTTGTATTTTTAGAGAATTCTTAATAAAATACAAAGAATAATCGGAATATAATTCTCGGCCACAGTCACTTATCCGACTGCCGTAACTTAGCTTACGTTTGCCTTTTCTATAAATATTTTCATGGTAATTTTTCTTTAAGCAAATCACCCCAAGCAAAGCGAGAGTGCCACTAGCACGCAAGGGGGTACAGAGAGTGATAGTAAGAATAAATAGGAGTGTTTGAGAAAAGGAGAAGGAGAAGGACAGGGACCAAGTCAAGGCATCAGAAGATGTCGATTGACATTACATTTGAATATTTGAAGATTATAGCTATCAAGGAAACAAGTGCTAGAAAGGGAGTTCCACTGACAGGAGGTGCGAGATAAGAAGCTGTACGAGAGGAAGAGATGTGCAGTAGTAGATTGGTCTCATCATTTTACAGTTGAAATGCCAGGATGTAACCGTAAGTTCTATGTTAACAGTTTCTTCTATCGCACTTCTCGCTTGTGGAACTCACTTCTGGCTACATACTTACCAGTCAAGTTTGATCTTCAAAAATGTAGATCTTTAACTTCTGCCTTCTTCACTCCTGTTATTCTATTGTTCTCACTCATCAGCAGTGTTTTTTCTTTGTACTCTTTCACACTCAGTAACCCAATGTATCTTAGGGGCTTTATTACCTTACCTGACGTGAAATAATTAAAAAAATCTATCGATATATCTATCTGCACCAGTTTGTTTGCTTCTATCTATCTATGTCAGAGTCTTTATATTTCTATTCCTTTTTCAATCTATGAATATTTACATACATCTATCTATCTATCTATCTATCTATCTCAATCTGTTCATATCTATCTATCTATCTATCTATCTATCTATCTATCTATCTATCTATCTATCTCAGTCGCTTCTTATTAGTCACAATTTTTCATATGTATGTATGTATGTATCTATCTATAATTTTTTTTATATGTATGTATGTATCTATCTATCTTAGAGTCTTTATGTCTTTCCTTTTTCTGTCTATGAATATTTACATCATCTATCTATCTATCCTATCTATCTATCTATCTATCTATCTATCTATCTCTTCGCTGGTATGTACCAGATTTGCTAATTAGAACGACAAAGAAGTGCCCGGATTGAATTGATTTAAGGTGTTTATATATATATATATATATATATATATATATATATATATATATATATATATATATATATATATTGACCCAGCCGATTACTGCTCTTCTGTGCTGTAGTCCTTGCCCATGATACAAATGGCCAAGTATCACTTGTCCGCAGTGAGCCAAGATGGCGCCCAGCCAGACTCCGTAGCCATATTTCGCTGTGATAGACACAGGCGCGCTCTTCCGTTTGCCCAGCTTCCATTTCGGACAGAATCGCTGCATTCCGCACGCAAAAGTATCACGTAAGCCATACTCCGAAAGAAGTGCCGGTGAAATGATTCTCTGGCATTTCCTTCCGTCTCTTCAAATGTTTCTTCTATTTTCAGTTTTTGTTCTTTCTTTCCTTTCATTATCCTTACTTACGTTTAGATATTTCCTTTTGACTCTTTCGTTTTTTTTTTTCATTAATATTTTCTTTCTTTCATTATATCTATCTCGGATTCATTTATTTTATCATTTTTTCTTTTCTTTTCTTTCTTTTTTTCTGCTTCAGTTTCTTTTATAACTTCTTTATTTCTTCTTGCTTTCGTATTACATTCTCTCGTTTTGTATCTGGTCTATTTTCTTTATTTCTTTCTGTTAATAACCCTTGTCTCTTCCTCTTTATAAAATTGTTTATTTATTATAAGAAATTATTTTCTTTCTCTCCATCAGGTCTCATTCATTCATTCTTTCTTTCTTTGCTTTTCTCTCGTTTTCTTTCGTTCTTTCATTTATACTTTCTTATCTTCCTTGCGTCAGTTTTCATTCTTTTTTTTCTTTCTTTTAATATCCCTTATCTCTTCAAACTTTTTCAAATTGCTACTTTTCATCCTTCCTTCTTTCTTTCCTTCTTTCTTCACATCAATTTTCATTCTTTTTTTTTCTTTTTTCTCCTGTTCCCTTTCTTTCTTTATTTCTTTCTTTCTTTCTTTCTTTCTTTCTTTCTTTCTTAACAGTTTTTCTTTTCTCTTTTTTCAATGTCTTCTTTATGCCCTTATTTGTTTTTCTTTATTTATCTTACCATTTATACTTATTCTTTCTTTCTTTCTTTCTTTCTTTCTTTCTTTCTTTCTTTCTTTCTTTCTTTCTTTCTGTTTTCTCTATCTTAGGATTCTTTAATTTGCTTTCGTTTTCTCTTTGATTTTTCTCATTTTTCTCTTTTTTTATCTTTTTTCTTCCTTTTTTTACTTTTATCTTCCAAGACATTTTTTAGCATATATTTTTTTTCGCTTTTTTCACTTTTTATTTTTCTCTTTATTTTGTTTTCTCATTTTTCTCTTTCTTAGACCTTTTCCTATCTTTCCCTTTCTTTCTTTCTTTCTTTCTTTCTAACACTTTTTTAAATCACTTCTTTCCATTCAACCTCTTTTGCTAGCACTCAGCGCTATCGTCAGGCTCACCCAAACCCCATTCCCCCTGTCTTTCCACTTACTCTCAACCCTACCCAGATCCATCGTTCCGTATCAGAACCTGCACGCCAGCGAATAGGTCAGCACACCTTCATGTATAGTCTCTCTATTCCTCCTTCCACTCACTTGAGTCGCCATCTTTTCTTCCTCTGCCATCCTGATTTCTGTTGCCACCTCTGCTTGTTGAAATGGCCAACTGCCTGCCAAAAAACGTGTTGGACAATGGCACCTGCAAGCTTATCTTTTTTACTTTCGCTTTCCAACGAGTTTTTCGCGCCAAAATCTGGTGATCTGGTGAGATGGGATGCAGTATTTTTGCTTTTTTTTCTCCCCAACCGCAGCCGCTAAGGAATGTTATATTCTGTTTGGGGTAAATAAACCAAAGAAATTAGAGAAAAGAAAATATTCGTGATATTATATATTTAGAAAGAGAAAAAGAAAGAGAGAGAGAGAGAGAGAGTTAAATTGGTAAACAGATATTCGTATTGACGAACGAGAAGTAATAGCCGTTGTGAAAGACCAGACAAAAAGACTATTGACAAATAGAACAACATCAAACATATACTGTATGCAGAAATCTGTTGGTAGATAACAAGGGTGGTTATTGAAATGAAAGTTGCACGCTACGAGAGATGTCAAAAATTGAAGCGGCCATATTATGATAAAGTTTATAGAAAATGTAGCAAACACATTAATAAAAAGCGAAATAATAATAATAATAACAATAATAATGAAAATAATATTAATAATAATAATAACAAGAACTGAGGAACTTACAATATGGAGAAAACGCTGCATACGAGAAAATGTAGAGCAGGCATGACCGGATGTGAATGGTGATCCATTGGAAGTCCTTTACAAGCAATTGTATTTCGACTACACAAACCAGTCGTAAATTCGCTTTCAGTAATAATAATAATAATAATAATAATAAGAAGAAGAAGAAGAAGAAGAAGAAGAAGAAGAAAAAGAAGAAGAAGGAAAATTATCCCAGCATCCATATCAGCAAATGATGGTAGTTTTTGAGAACTAGAAAAGAGAAAGCCTCACAAAATGTGGTTATGGTTGTTGACGTTCTAGCTGGATGAGAATGAATAAAAAAAGAAAAGAAATTTCTTTATCGCAGAATTTCCTCTAAATTCACCAAAAAATATGGATGTTGGTTTCAGTCTGTGGGAATGACTACAAAATATTTTCCTCTATCCAAGTTTATAGGCAGGAGAACATTTTGTTCCAACATATTCCAAGAGTATTCAGTGGAACTGTCAGTTGAAGGTTTTTCTTAGACAAACAAACACAGTGAAGTCTTCTTTTCATGCATTAAATCCTTCACTTAAAAATCGACCCGAGGAGACAAGCTGCATTTTCCTACTGAAAGCATGCCACTACCTGTGTCGAAAACGCTTGCTATAATGGAGGTACACGGCGCCCAAGAAGTCACCAAGTCATTTAACATCATTGAAATTTCAACATTTTTTTTTTTAATTGTCAATTAAAATTATTTTTATAGTGTTTTATTTTTATTTATCAGTCTGACAGATTATATTACTTAAAAGTTGTTAGTGGATACTAAATAGATAAACGAAACGTCTACTTAGATATGGGTATCCACTAAAAAAATAACGGTTAAGTATCAAAATCTCTCGTATTAATAAATAAAATCCATCACGTCTTTAGAAATTACTTTGTTCACTTTACGATAAGAAACTGAAAAGATATGATTGTTTCAAGAGTTTTGAAAGGAATTGAGTTTCTCAGGTACTATTGAACTTTGCTTGCTCGATGACGCACTTCGGGGCAGAGTCAGTCTAAAGAAGATCGGATCTAACGACGGTCTCTCCTGCAAAAGGGTGCGCAGGTTCGAATCCTAACGAAGAGTGCATATTTCTGTTTAATATAATTTCTCGAATGTTCAAGTTGATAGACGAAACTAATAGGAAAATGAACGGAGCATCTGATCAAATCTTGGTATCCACTAAAAAGTAAGATTCAGGTAATAAAAAATGATAATTCAAACGGTGGAAATACATTTCTATATACTAATGTCCTACTCTAATATAATGTTATATTGAATTTCAGAAATTTGGTTTCTCTATTTACTATAGTCATCACACTTATTCTCTGATAATGTCGTGTATGGTCACCCATACTTACAGAAATCGGCACGTTTATACACCAATCAAAAAAAATCAAAATTCTTTTAAAAATATTGGCGTTTGATGATTTGTATTTAACTTTTCCATTTAGGATTAGTAAATATATTTTTCACTTAATAATAATATCAAAACAACTGAAATTAAAAGATTAATAGAATTTTCTAATTGAAATTTAAAAATGAAAACAATTCTTGTAAAAATTCAATATTCATCGAATAAAATTTTTCTTAATACATGTGTCCTTAATATATCTTATTTATAAAAACATTTAAAAGATTTTCTAATTATGTCATAGTTTTATATAATTTTTTTAATTTTACGATTCAGAGTTAATTTTCGGTAGATTGTGTATGTTTGACAGAAATAAAATGATGATTTGAATTCTCCAAGGAGCCTTGTTTTTAACTAATATAAATGCGAAAATTCATAAAATTAAATAAACAGGGATAACAGATGAAAAAAAAAAGATTTTCTAAAACTATATATTTAAAAAATGATTTCATTCATTTGTGAATAAGTCCTGAAAATTTAATTTAATTGAGATCATAGACAATGAACACCATTGGAAAATTCGTAAACTTAAGGAATCAGCACATATGCTAGGCCACAAAAATCTCCTGAGCTGACCAAGCATAGAAATAAACACAATATGGGAACCAGTAATAAGGAGTGCCAGAGAAAAGCAATGATAACAAAGTTGCAATATAAGCTCTGGTAAAAACATAAAATGATAACAGCAAAATTGCAATATGAGCACTGGTAAAAATGGTCGCTGAAGACATTAGGTTTATAATACCCAGAAATTCATAGCCAGATTCCTCAAAGACACATGACACAGTGGATAAAGGCGTTAGTTCGATCCAGTGACAGGACCCAAAGAGTGTGAGTTCAATACCCGATTAAGGCAGTGGAGAATTTCAGAGGGAAAAAATAGCAGGAGATAACTGATAACTGACATCCATCAAACATGGCACGTGGAACTAGAACAGTCTACCCCGGTGAGCGAAATAAAGGTTTGAGTTCGACATTCCAACCATCTGAAAAAGGCCGGAGCGTACAACGGCCGAAACGTTGTGATAAATATGGCGACAAAGATGAGGACAATAGTCCGAATAATGTAAATAATGTGCATAATACCTCATCTCAGAAATATAGACAGAATTTAATTTAAATCCGACAATTTTATTTTTGCAAGAATTTCCAAAACAGTATGTTATTTACCACATCAAAGACGCTAAATTTCCCAAACTAATCAGTGGCTTACTGCTGATGCAAGAAAAACAAGTTTTTAAGTAAAATTTCGAACATGCTTGAAAGGATTAAAAAAAAAATTAATAAAATCATGAAGAAATACTTTGGTCTTCCCTCTTAATAGTAATATAAATATTTTGACGATAAATCTTTGTTTTTATCAAGTTTCGATCCTTTTTATCATGCTATACTTTTTGTTTAGAAATGTTTTGGCGGTATCTAAAAAGATTTATTAAAAAGGCCTACAAATATTTTGTGTCCAATCAACAAACGCTCACGCAGTTTCAAACAAGACTTCGTTTTCGAGCAGCCACCGCCAACACTATATAAACCACCATCAGTTTGACACCGTCGTAGAAATTTCATCCATGTTACCACGGTTATTTTCCTGTTCTTATTTTGGTTGACACTCGCAGAAAACACCCAGCAACTGAAGCCTGGTGCTGACAACCGAGGACACCTGCAGAGATGCAAGGAGTTTGCTGCTCACACCAACAGCTGAGGCGACTACTCGATGAAAAAAAACTCTATTCCTACAGTGTGAAAAGGTTCATATTATCCTTAACTGATCATCAATACGTATTCGGTAGAATCCCGATACGAACTCCCTAATGATGTATGCATGTCGCCCAAGGCGAAAACGTAAATGAATCTACATTTTTACTTTAGTAACAGTTCTCAAACGATCACCGAAGTTAAGGAACGTCGAGCCTGAGTAATAACGAGATGGGTGACCGCTTGGGAATACCAGGTGCTGTAAGTTTGTTCGCCAATTCCAGTCGGAATGCAAATACAATTAGAAAAGGTATGAATCCACCTTTTCTCCCCTATCTATGGATTAACTAGCTGCACTTTTATTAGTAAATCTCAAGAAATACTTCAAATGCAAAAATATTTTTTGGCTTTATATAAACTACAAAGGTTTGATAAACTGTAAAAAAAAGTTAATCATTTACTTTAATAACGACCCTTCTAATTTGTCGTGCGTTACCTTGTATTCTTTTTCTGTTAGCATCTGTAATGGTACTCTAGACAACACACTAGACTGTATCCCTTTCACACTGATCGGTACTGCAGATCCCGCAAATGACTGTATACTTGAAGAGGGCCGTTGAAACAGCCAAAACAAAAGAAATAGACAGTACAAGTCCTGAACGGATAGTGACTCTTCAGCTAAAAATGGTGCCTTTATTAAAAGCTGATATCAATAATGATCGTCACTATGAGTTAAACTTGCCCCTTATTGCCTGGATTAAAAAAAAAAAAAAAAAAAAAGGGATTAAATCAGTAACTACATTTAAGATGATGATAATGATGATGGTGAAAGCGATAATGTCGACGTTCTCGCTTGCCGCTGAAACAATTATTCCAATCTCCTTCAGCCGCCGCAGACGTATTTATTTGATTACCGTTAATCAGTTCATCGGGGCGAGATTTCCTTAGTTGCCCACGAGATCTTGGAAACCGGGCGAGAATTCGCAGGAGTAAAACGAACAAAAAAAGAAAAAAAAAAGAAAAGAAAAACAGAGAAGAACCTGTGAGAAGTGTCCCCCCCCCATCACGCAGAATGTGATACAAATAAATAAATAAAAGTGTATATGCGATGGAGGGTGGGGAGTGAATAATTGTATTATTTCCTACTCGACTGTCATCTTTTTCGCAGCTTCTTCTACACTATCAATTCTTTACTGCCTCCGCCATTTTTTCTTCATTTTGGCGCGCAAATTAGCGCGCTCACACAGAGTTAATTGTGTTCCGTTGGATTTGTAACTCGCATTTGATTCGAAAGAAAGAAAAAAAGGGAAGAGGAAAAAGAGGATTAACTAAAGTCTTGGGTATTAATGTGTGCGCGGGTTTACATTTGTGATTATCTACACACGCGTGTGTATGTATGTGTGTAAGTCAGTACGAGGGGCGCTGAAAAGTTACCGGCCCGACTCAGTTTACAAAATCTAACAAAACAGCGTTATTTTAGAAACCATTCCTATCCAGTAACATTTAACATGTTCATATACATAATGCGATCAGTAAATTGTCGCCATTTCATATTTTTAATTTCGCGCATGCGCGATGTTTTTTTTTTAGAAGAATAATTTTATATTTACAACATTCTAAAAACTAGTACAAAGTAATGCAATATTTATCATTTACTGATTGATAAAAATTAGATATGAAAAAAAAATTATATTCATAAATTTCTAAACATTTGCTAAGTTATTAAAATATGAAAAGCAACTATAAGGAAATCCTTATTATTTGCCATTTTATACAGTTCCAATTAGTAATTAGCCAATGTTTTGCCAACCAGTCCAATAAACAATAATAGTGTAAATAAATAATGAATCGTGCTTATTATTTTTCTTGTTAATTTTTAAGAACAAACAAAATATATGAATTCAATTTCATAGGTTTAGGTTTTATTCAAATTCTAATTATCGCTTTTTAAAAAAAGAAACATTGCCGAAGAGAAAAAGTATTAAACTAAATCCGGTGTCATGGGAAAAACAGTCCATTTGACTCTCCAACATTTAGCGGGCACGGATGTCCATGTTTCTTTTCATGCTAATATCTCTGGAAAATACACTGATGCAAAATAAAAATGTAGAATTCGGCAACGAATGAGACTACTTTGACGACTAGATTCGTAAAACTGAAACTTTTGTCTTCATTTTGGGATAATTTGTGCGATTCTACAATTAAATCTGTCGAACTTAAAAAAAATATAATAATTTTTGACCGATACTCATATTGTGACTGAGAAAGAATTAGACTTACACTTCAATGTTAATCTTGGCTTTCTCTTTGCGAATTCGCTAGTAAATCCGTTAAAATTAAAGAAAATGTACCGCATTTTTTCACCGACATCCGTAATCAGGATTAAATATCGCATGCGACATGAAGGCATGAGCTCCATTTTGTAATTCGCCCTGACAAGGTTCGAAATACCCATTTCAATCAGATATGCATTAACGTGAATTACTTAACTTCGTTTTTCACAAGGCAACCAGTAAAACCACTGCAGTCGTAATTCATTATGAAACTAACTTTTTCGGTGTTCAAACACGAAGAACTCGGTGGTGGCGGGAAAACCAGATTACTAATGTCTCTGTTATATAGGAATAAAGTGTCTCTGCTGACATTGGAGTTTGAACACAGATCACCAGAAAGCAAACACAGGCGATCCCATTTTGAATAAGTAGATCGCATGATGGTAAAATAAATATATATATGGGAATTAGCGTGGCGTCTAAGTGATCACTATCAGCATTACTTCGGAAGTATGCTTGTCAAACTCTCTGGCTCCGGGCAGAGAGGATGCCCAGACGAGGCTATGTCAATGGGTAGATTCTCGTCTTGGGAGACAACTACCCGACCCCGTTTTTTACGTGGTCTACGGGGAATTTTGAGCGAGCCTACGGGCTCGTATACCCCACTATAAAATGGCCTTGTGCCGCATCCAACCGTGTGGAGCAGTAAGTGAATATCTCACTATCCGGATTACTTCGTAAGTGTGCTATCAAACACTCTGCTCGAGATGATCTCCAGACGAGGCTATGACAGAGGGCAGAGTCTCGTCCCGGGAGACAGTTATCCGACACCAATTTAAGGGGTCTACGGGGAGTTTTTGACCGAGCCTACGGGCCCTGATACCCCACAGTAAACCTGGCCTTGTGCGGCATCCGATCGCGTGGGATGGTTAGCGAATATATCACTATTCAGTGGTTACTTTTTGAGCGAGTATTATCGAGCAAGTACTATTAGTGCGTGTGCTATTCGAAGACGTCTGACACCAGTATTGTTCAACGGCGTTACTATCATTGTATCTGCGATTACAAAGTCTCTACTACAACGAGCTTTACGAAAGGGACAACGAGTATTCGTTGACATTACAAAAGTGGCAACGAGCGTTCGTTGACATCACAAAAGTTTCATAATCACAGTTGTACTCTTAATCAAACACCTTGCCTGGAATGTCTACTGCGACTCATGCTCATTCCAGACATTGCCAAAGATGCTGGAAAAAATTATCAGTTCCTTGTACCGCACTAAAACGTACCTGGCTCCACTTGATATGTCCTGTCTTTAGAAGAAGCACATCAAACCAATCTTCACATGCCTGCCTTGACGGCGTTCAAAAGCTTTTGCGCGGCCTTCTGGTTGATTAATTATTTTCCACTTTTCATCTCCTTTCCTACAGACAAAACGTTGCTAGAGTTTCGCTTCTCTATCTGTTTTCATTGTAGATGTTCGGGCGAATTACCTTTCTTGGCTCCACCAGCGCAGTGACACCCAGCTAAGCCCTGCCAGTTTATGTACACTTTGTCGTTTCAGCATCATTCTCTTCATATTCCATTAGTAAAGAGGAAGTTCAACTCAGAAAGCCTCTTTCCCAGAATTGTGGAAGGAGATTCTCAAAAGATTGCTTTTGGGGTCATTATAATCTTATCCTTTTCAACTCTAGGGTCACCAGTTATCTATCCTACATGTACCTCTTGTTTCATCCTTTTACGACCTTACAACAACCTTATTTAGTAACCACCCTTGAGATGCTCCCGGGGCTGGTATTGGGTGAACAATAATAAAAAAGATACTTGTGTAAACAAACAACTTCGTCAATATTTATTTAAATCATATTATCATGACACGTGGCTAAAAGTGGCGCGGAAATGGGTTTATGGACTAAAAGATCATTCAACATTATGGCTTGTAAACGAGGCTCAAATAACAACGAGAAATACCCAACTATTTCACTTGCGAATATGTGTCATCTTTCTTTATGACCTGGGGATTCGTTCTACAGCAGCACCTTATTTTACTAAAAAGAGAGAATTAGTGGATACCAACGCCGACGCGAAATTGGTTTTGGGGTCTGTACAATATTTTTTCTGTGACTCATATGTACCCTTTAAAACAACTTGGTGTCACAACCGTCCCATCATAAGTAAGAGGGTAAATGGATTTACGCGGCCTACGGGTTGGGATCAATGTGTTGTATCTACCCTCGGGCAGATAAATTACATTTTATCATTCAGTTATGTCTCCTGTCAGCTGAACTCAGTCGTGTGTCTGTCTTCGGACCAAGCTCAACTCAGTTGTCTATTTGTTTGAAGACAAAGAGCAACTGAAAAAATGAGATGTGCCCGCGACAATCCCTGACTCATTGCACAAACAAGGGAAAGTCGTTGGTAAATACTAAATGTAGTATCTTTTCTTCTCCTCTGAGTTATTAGGTTGGTGCAAAAATAATGACGTAATAATGTCGTTTTTGACGTATTTTTTAACGTCAAAAATCGACATTATTATGTCATTATTTTTGCACCAACCTAATATTATGGAAACCATGTTCTGGGGCATCCAGGCAAGGGCAGCACCTCCCTCATTGGACTAAACAGGGAAAGTTGGTGGATACCATGGCCGTCATGTCAGTGGTCAAAGGGACTTGACAACATTTGTCCTTGGCCCATATGTACTCGGATGGGCAACCCACGTTAAACCGGAAAAGTCTTACATCCGTCCACCACGGGGAGGCGGTTAAATAGAAAAAAAAAGGAAGATGTGTGATGGCGCAAAAGAAATACAGGAAGAATATAGTTGGGGAAAGAAATGGGAAGATTTTAAAGTAACTCGTCGGCATGAAAACCTCTGTACTCTTTTTCCCATGAAGATATTGGCCCAGTTCCAGCAAAATTTGGCAAATCACCACAGCGGTAGTTTATGCGGTTGTGTATTTGCGAGATGATGGAAAGTTTCGGATGAAAA